TACTTCGAGGTTTTCTAGGATGAAGAACTCGAATCGGTAATCCACTTCACTCGAAGCCCCATTGGTTGAGCACTGACCAATAGAAACCAAATAATAGGAAAAAACGAGTTTTTTAGGATAACTCAAGGCGAAGAGTCCAAATCTGAGCTGTGTTCACTCCGAAATCCTATTGGTTGAGTAGTAGTCAATAGAATTCAAATGTTTATAGAAAGGATTTGCCAGACTAATTTTTATATCCGCACATTCTAGGATGACCGATTTGCCTCATTCACTTTTTGAAGTACACATAACTCTCGGATTTAAATCCGAGGTTTCCACATTTATTTTAATATTGTGTGAGGTTCTCGTTTTGGGAATGTAACTAATGGCTTCGACCTCCGTTGTTGACGTAGGCTGAAATATGAAATATAGGATCTAAGCCTGCTTATCTTGAGAAAACTCACACTTAAATGCTTACCATATATTGTTGTTCAGGTGATGGAATACGGGTTGTAATAAATTCCGTTATGTAGGTGTTTCAAATATTTTTATTAATAGATGACGATGATGGAAAATTACAGAAAACACGAATAGATGTATAACCACGACCAGAGGAAAAACAAGACTGAAGCTAGTTATCACAATAACTACGATCAAGGCAAAAAAGAGAAAAAAGAGAACCAAAATAGAAAGAGATAGAAAAATTAAAGAATATAATAAAATGAAAAAGAAAGAATGAAATAGAGATAATCACCATAAGAACATGATGATCAATGGATTGGTAGATATATATGTATATATATTGCAGGAACAAAAGAAACAACATACATATATATGAAGTTAGCGTTATGTCATAACATCGATGGACGCTAACATATTGATTTCTGAAGTATTTTTATTCAATTTTCTAACCGTCAGTAAAATAATTTTTTATGAAAAAAAAACAGAAAACCAGAAAAGTTATCTTTTATTGTAGAAATTGCTAGAAAATCGTATCAGAGGCTCCACTAGCATACAAATTATTAATGTCAAATGTCTGCAGTCTGTAGATTCTCGATTAGTGATTTGAATCTACATTTGATAATTGAAATTTCACTATAAACAACTTACTAAATAGATTTGTTTTTAAAAAAAGTCAATTTAAAACGTCACAGAAAACAGATCAAGAAATTCTGCCATATATAATTTGAATGAATTATCTTTTCTGTTGGCCCTGTGGGTGGAGCGAAGGGCGCCCATGGTCGGGGGTGAGCTGAAGTCCAAAAATCAAGACTCCCCATAGATGGAGAAAGTGGTTTTATAAAAATTGGCTTGTGGGGAACCCTGCGCATGGGGAACCTATAGGCCCCATGGGGTGCTGAAAAATATCACATGAGCATCTCTGTTTCGCATACCTTGAAATTTATGTAACTTGCTCTAGGTATGCTGTGGGGACGTAATATTGTAAATTTGTTAGTTTAACGGTGAGAACTTTCATTTGACTCGAACATGGTCGATCAACTCGATTAACAATACAGAAGGTTCTATTGTAAGCAGAAAAACTTTTAGAGGTTTTCTGGTGCAAAGATTGCCATTTAAAGCGTTATCCCGCAACTTCTGATGTCTTCTGAACGGATGCGAAAACGCTCACACACAAACCTTAATTATCAGAGCCCCAACTAGGCCACTAGGCCTGCCCGTGATAGGCACAGTCCACGATTTTTAGGTCTGACCGAACCCTTGGACAGGCCAGGCAGATCGCTTAGAAGTGCCAGACCGCCTAGTCTGTCTAGTTTATTTCCTCGATATAGAACTTTTACTGCATAGATGAAATTTATTTCTAAAAAAAATTCAGTTGAGTCGGTTTTCAAAGATGATACCTGCCTATAAAGAATTTGATCAATACTTGAGAATAAATGCTGTTGATATACATAAATAATCAAAACTACTACTAACATGAAGAAGTTCTTACCATAACAGAGAGGTTCAATAGATGATGAAACCTCCGTCCCCTCCAAAAATTTGTGTTTTTTTCTATCTAAAATTAATTGAGAAGAGTTTCGAAAGTGAACTCTGATAGAATTAGCTCTGTTACTCCTATTTGAGCTACAAATGACATTTTTATCTGCCAGACTCATCCAAAATATTCTCGAACAAGAACAGGATTGTTTTCTCGAATATTAGTATCTTTTTATTTCTTTAGTTACCTAGATACCAATGCTTTTCAATTCATATTAAATATAGAATAAAAATGCATACTGTCAGCGCCTTTATAATGGCTGCACCTCCCTATAGTGAATAGTTTTATTTGGCATTGAGCGATTTCTGCTCGAAATCGATCACTTCGTAATGAAAGCCTTCTTATCATGATATATTAATGTTTCTTTTCTGACTTCCATCAACCACAAAAAATGAGTCTCACAATAATGACTTTTGTTCGATTTCTATTTTCATACACTCTGGTGCACAGATCAGAAAGGAACATCTCTGTATAGTGAACACTTAAATATTTTCTTGAATGTTCAAATTAGAAAACTTTATTGCTGTCATCTAGACTGACTACAGTGACTTCTTGAACTTTCTATGAAGATTTATGCTAAATTATATCGTATTATTGCTATGATATTGGCTATTAAGAAAAGTGGACAGGCCTTGCCAGGCAGGTCGAACAAAACGGCAGGTAGGCAGGCCAGGCCGAAGAAAAAAGATGACAGGCACAGGCAGGCCAGGCCTGCAAAAAGTGAGCCCGGTTGGACCTCTGGTAGTTAGCGAGTTTGAATGCGTTTTTGAAAATTGTTCTTTGCTTCGGAGAAATAACCACTAACTAATACTCATTTCAATTATTCTGTAGGTCACTCTAGCGTAAAAGCTTTGGTTACCGTGAAATTAAGAAAAACATGCTAATAATACTCGTAAGAGGTTTCCAGGAAATAACTGAGAAATTTCAAAATTTAAAGAAGGCCTATTTTTCGCTCTGTTCTAACTTTTTGAATTGTTTTGAGCCTACCCTAAATTGACGCTGTTCCGCCATCTATGCCCATGGGTCCTCAAGTAGAGATCCGCGAGACAATCTTTCTCTTGTCCGGAATCCCGTTTGTTTCGTCCCAAAATTTTTCGAATTGTCGCGTAAAATCACGTGTATCCCTTTAACCAGAAAAAAATACAAAAATATCACACTGTCTAACAAGGGAACATATTTGAGTGTACTCACGCAAAGAGAGACTTAAATCAATCTATCTTACAGGGTCATCCATGAATATCTCGGATATAAATATCTTAGGTGCTCTCGTCTGAGAGAAAGAAAAAACATAACTTTTTTCAGTTGTAGACCTTATTTTGCTAATTTCAGTCGGATGAATAGAACTTGAGTCAAAAATAGAAACATACTTGAAATCTGCATTAAAAGCGGAATCGGCTTATATGTGTTCGAAGTTGTTTTGTCGAGCTTTTCTTCCTCAAAAAGTTAATCCCTGGTTCCCTCAGAGATCAGTAGAGATGCACCGAGCCTGAGCTGCTCAGTCTAGACTCGGGCTCCGTCGCGCTCAGGCTCGGCCGGGCTCGGACTCGGCCAACCACGAGCTCGGTCAGGTTCGGCCTAAGCTAGGTTGGGCTCGGTCAGACTCGAGCTTCGTCAGGGTTTTCTCCTCTCAAAGAAACCTTTTAAGCATTGTGTTCTCTCATGCATCGTAGTGAAATCTCTTTCATAGTTACTTGAACACACTAACCGATAGAATATCTCAAGTTTAATTATACCCTTAGAAATTAGCTTTATGATCTTTAACACATCTGCTGGTTAGATTTATACAAACCATCTGAGAATTTAGATCACAGAAGCGAATGTTTTTGTGGTGGGTGTGGGTGGGGGTGGCATGTGGGTGTGACTGAAGACAAGACCTACAACCACACACCCACACTGACACACACACCCACGCCCACACCCACACCCACACACCCACACACCCACACCCCACACCCACACCGACACCCACACCCGACACCTACACCCGACACCCACACCCACACCCTACACCCACCCACACCCACACTCCACCTACACCCACACCCACACCCACACCCACACCCGCACCCACACCCACACCCACACCGACACCCACACCCACACC